CAGTATATTTATTTTTCTCTAACTACCATGACCCTGTTTATGCAAGTATGTTGATAACTGAGGTACTGTATGAGTCATGTACAGTAATTTATCGATGCAAACTGGATATTTATGACATGATAACTACCTGCAGCATTCATAAGCTTTGCTGTTGATCCCAGTCTCAATATGTATAAATTAAACTTAATTGATTGGTTAATAAGACACAAAGGCAAAGCATTAATTGTACAGTTTATTTAATTTATACATGTCTAAATATTAAAAAACCTTTGATTGTCACAAATATGCATTGACTTTCAGTACAAGCTGGAATCATTCATCATTGTGCCATTTTACAGACATGAAGGGCAATGGCCAGAACACTTCGGGTGGGGGGTAGCGTTCTGGCATAGCCAAGATGACGTCTCTCCTTGATAACTTGAAGTGTCAGGCTATCTGGCAGCAGACAAAGTAACATATGACTATATATGGTTTAATAAATATATGGTTTAATAACTATATATGGTTTAATAAAGTTCTGCCCAAACTTTTTTCTGGTTCCTTTCAGATCTGCTTCCGGCCAGAACTTTAAACATTGGTTCCGGTGTCACAGGAGATTCGCCCCCCCAGGAGATTCGCCCCCCCTCTCAAAAGGGGGGCGATATTCCTAGGATATTCGCCCCCCCGGGCGAATCTCCTAGGAATATCGCCCCCTGGGGGCGAATCTCCTAGGAATATCGCCCCCCTTTAGGAATTTCGCCCCCTCCCCATATAAATTTTGAATTTTTGATCTAAAAACAAAACGATTGCAAGTTGCAATTGAAAAGATTTATTGTGTGATTTATTACAAGGAGACAAAATTACATACACATTTTAGGCTTCTCAGCAGCTGGTGGTGTGCACAGTCAGCATAACCACTCATTTGAGGTACTTAGACCAGTGTCATATTCTACACATCTAAAGTGGAACCATCACAGAGATCGCATAAAATCATGTTGTCGTATTCTTCTGGCAGTTTACATTCACATAACATATTATAAAAACAATCGCTTGCAAATTTTATCAATATGAGTGTTAACAATAGCCGCCACAGTAATCACTTGCTAACAATAAACTATAGGATTAGTAAAAAATCCATGGAATGTGTTGGGAAGCGTATTGACTATTGTCCGTTGAATCGTCAACTTTCCGTGTCAGTGATATAATCTTAATTCTTCACTTCCGCAAAGAAAATTGCATTATATATGTGGTGTGGTTTATTCAAATCATTTCATGATACTTTGATTTTATTAGTGCATGCCTTAAACATTTGAGAATGTAACTCTGCAAAACTAAAAGCTTTCTTGTCTTTTTTGCTTTTTTGAAACGTATATTATTGGATTATTGCTTATTGGCAAGTTCTACCCTTCGCTTCTGAGATTTACAAACTATATTGGAATAATGCAAGTAAAAAATAGTGACAAACCATACATTTTCCGATAACGACAAAACGTGGATGCAAAACAATACCAATAATTACAATAACCACCACGGTGATTAATTTTTAACAATGAGTTTAAGGATTAACACTGAAATGCAAAATATGCATAGTGTGCTGTGAAGCGTCATAAGTCCTATTGAGTATTCATCTACTGTAACTGTGTAAAGCCCTTTCGATACATGTAATTGTAAATTTGTATTCTTACATGCAGGGCTTGAAATAACGTTCCCAAAGTTCCCGACCATGGTGATCGGCAGTCGCGACTTTCCCTGCTTTTTTCAGGTTAGAAACCGAAACTCTGCTTTTCCGCCGATCATGAGCAATTCCTTGCCGATCATTGATCGGTGATCGGTTGTTATTTCAAGCTCTGTCTTAACAATTTTGAATTGATACTGATTTCAAATGATTAAAGCCATGTAATAGTTATCCCATGCAACTGTTAGGAAGGGCGAAATTTTGAACGGAGGACGACAGTCCTAAAGAAAAGGTGAAGTTTCTAAAGGGGGGCGAATTTCCTGAAGGGGGGCGAAATTCCTAGGATTTTCGCCCCCCTGGGGGGGCGATATTCCTAGGAATTTCGCCCCCCGGGGGGCGAAAATGTAGGGGGGGCGAAAATCCTGGGACACCGGTGCACCCCTAGTACAAGGAATAATTATTAATTGTAAATTTAAATGCACTTCCTCATTTTTAAGTGCACTTCCTCATTTTTAAGTGCACTTCCTCAGTCATTGCAAGATAAACATTAAACATAAGTGTTTTGAATTAGTACATTCCCCACAATATATCCTGGTTTCTTGTGTGAAACATTTAGAACAAACACTCGGGATAACTGCAGCTCAAGATAAAAGAGTTTCAAATATTTTTTGCTGACATAATTCCAAATTAGCATTTAAATTAGTCATCCTCTTATCCCAGTTATATTTATTTTGTTGCTGATTTACTAAATCTTCATATTTAAGCAATTTTTCACATTCCTCAATTAGGATGGTTAGGTTATCATTTAAAGAAATAGCAACAATGTACATATTTTTGTATGTAGAAACAATGGTGCAGAATAACTTTCATACCTTTACAAGATAGCACAAATCTTAAAGACCATGTAAAGTCTGTAATGCAAACAAACACTTTGTTTACATTTTGCACTCAGTGCACAACAGCCTTAGGGTGCATTGCCACTTAAAGGGTTAATTTAAATTGTTTCACCAAGAAACAAATTTTGCATATTTTTAAACTTCATTTGCAACGAGAGCTGTTGCTAAAAGTATCCCCACAAGACTACTGATATGCTAAACTTATTTAAAACTACGATTATTCCCATCATCCTTTTAGCACCCATATTGCACATTTGACTATTGTCTCAGTGACAACTTTACTTGAAATAGCTGTATAAGATATGCTATGAATAATAAGCTCTGCGACATTGCATCCATTACAAAAAAAGCATAAATTGAAAACACAGAAATGTAAAAAGAGAGATGGAAAAAACTTGTGGATCTACTCCGTTCCGCATCCACATTGTAACCTAATTGTGACATGTTTCCAAGGCCGATGAGAGCCAACCAAGGGCCCCAGGAAATTGGTGAACAAGGCCCCCCCCCCCCCCACCCCATCTTTAGACTCTCATGCTGATTGCCACACCAAATTCGCAATCAATGCAGGAAACACCAGTGAATTTACTTGCAAAAAATCGCCAGAGAATGTTACTGTACCAGCAGATGGACGTTATAGTCTTTCAAAATAGTTACTCTTTATGAGTTTATTATTTGGCAGATTTTTGTTTACTCTCTGTAAATTACAGCAAATATAGTTTCACATAAATAATTTACTATTAATGTCTTTTATTTATGTAGTCAGTAGTCATAAATAATTTCAACAGGACTAACTACTCAACCAACAGATTATGGTCACATGTATGTTAAGTTAATAATATACTTTTTTCTGTTTCGATTTATTCCGCTCTTGATGATAATATTATAGGCTCTTAGCTTGCTTTTCTGTTTTAGGTTCAGAAACCTTTTACATATATTTCATGTTTATCTGTGACAATCTGTCATCTGTATCTGATGTATTAAACTTGAGTTACTTAACAGCTGTTCTACAAACTTATATTTAAATTAATTTAATTATTTAATAGAATAATGCATGAGTTATTCTGAAACTATTTTCGCAGTACACAAATGAACAACAATTGTTCAGTATACTATACAACATTAGCTGTACAGTCTGTCGGTCTCACTAGTCACTACTCAGCTCACATAATAAATTTGTTCAACAAATACCTCATTTCATCTCATGACTGATAAAGACGCACTGTGAATGATGTTTAGGTAACTGATTTTGAAAAAAAAAACGATTGAAAAATTGTTTATTTTGGTACATTTTAGCAGCAGAAAAAAATAATGTGTTTGCCAGTGAACATAGAATTCTGATTGGTCCACAATGATTAGCACTCTCTCTTTACTTTCCAGTAACACGATATTGCAATTTTTTATCTTGTTGATGTTTGCCAAAATTACAACTAGTTTTAAGGCCTCAGCAAAGAGACGCTTTACAGCAATTGGTTTTGGGAGGAGATTTGTTGGTTGTTTTACCAACTGGCTTCAGAAAAAGTCTAATCTTTCAGCTTCTTGTGAAGATAAACAAGGTAATTACTAAGCTCAAACAATATGCTATTGTTGTATGTCCTCTCAAAAGTATAATCGGCAATCAGATAGAAGAGGCCTCGAGCATTGGCTTGACTGCCAAATTGCTGAAAGACTATACTTCAGATGACCTGGAAAATGGTACTTCCAGTTGTTGTTTGGATTAGCCGAAGACATAATTTGCAAACGGTTTTTGGCTGCAATGAAAAAAGCAAAACAACACCACTTTATGTCTTTGCCTTCCTGCTTTTCACGAGGTGTTGCATTTAACAAGCTCAGTTTACTGGCAAAACAAAACACTCGACTTGGGATAATTTGGCTGTGAAATTGATTCACAGCCGCTTTATTTAAAATCTCGTCATTTAATTAGAAATATCATAAAATCATTAAAATTGATAATTTGAGTTAATAACTTGAGTCTGTTAATGTTCATTGCCAGTAAAGGTGGCAGGACTACACGCCAATTAGGCAAAAAAGGTATAAAACGATATGTACAAGAAAAGACAACAAACTAAAATACAAAGGGGCAGGCCAGCGGGAGGAGGTGGGAAGAAAATTCGTATGTCTTCACTCGATCACGAGAAAGGTTGAATTGAGAAGTGAATAACTTTGCTTTCCTTTTAGTAGCTAAAATTTGGCCTTGACTTTATGTTTCTTACGTAGGTAAAAGCACCGGAATTTCCTTCTCCGCCAAGTCCCACCTTAATCTGCCACAATCCAATCTAACTATTTCCTACTTTTATCTTATCACTATAATTCAGGCTTGACATAAAATACGGAAATATTTTTATTTATGTCTTTGCCTTCCTGCTTTTCACGAGGTGTTGCATTTAACAAGCTCAGTTTACTGGCAAAACAAAACACTCGACTTGGGATAATATGGCTGTGAAATTGATTCACAGCCGCTTTATTTAAAATCTCGTCATTTAATTAGAAATATCATAAAATCATTAAAATTGATAATTTGAGTTAATAACTTGAGTCTGTTAATGTTCATTGCCAGTAAAGGTGGCAGGACTACACGCCAAAGACTACGCAATTGAAGTCAGTCGACCGTAAATCGCGGAGTCTCCCCACCCGAGGAAAACGCAACACCACTAGCAAAGAGCATTTAATTATCATAATGTTTTATAGCGAGTCAAAGTACACCGCAGTAACCCCTGTTAACTGTAGTGTAGGCCGATCGAAAGCAGTCGCCTCTGCGAAACCACTATGAGTAGTAGCATGTTGTAAATAGAGCCCTTCAATACTAAACATCTAACAGTCGCCCCTGCTGACTGTTGTTAACACAACCACTAAACATTTAACAGTCGCCCCTGCTAACTGTTGTTCACACACAGAAAGGAATAAAATAGTCAGAAATAACAGTTTAATTTAAGTGAATACTTACTAATGAACATTAATATATCTGGTGATCAAGAAGAGATGTCCGCCCCTGCTAGACAGGCCCTCTGGACCACCAAATATACGATGCCACAGACCAAGCGACAACACCCCCGCGACATTGTCGCCCGGTTTGGAAGGATTGTGTTACTCAGATAATGAAGCAGTCGTTGAAAGAGATGAAACTCGAATATACTTTTGAAATGCATTAGTTTTCCACTGACCTAGAAGACGAATCTGTGCATCGGACAAACCATTCTCAGCAGCGAAAGATGCTGCACCGATTCGAAACGAATGTGATTTGTAATGCGACGGACTTAGGTCACGGTATTTGAGGCAAGCAACAAGGTTAGCGGTAAAAACTTTTCTCGGCACCGCGACGCCCTCCACTGTCAAAAACACTGGACCCGGACTACAGCCACGATGATTTAAATATGTTGATAATAATTGTACAGGGCAAGCGCTTGTTTGCCAGTTGATGACCATAGTAAATGGTCGCTGATTGTAGTTATGCTTGTAATCAGCAAATATTAATTTGTAACCAATCACTTCACCATCTCTTGAGAGTTTGGTGAGCTGGTTTACCTGTATAGGGCAATTGCCCGGCTGTGATGTTGCGGTGATCTCACCCACGCGCAAAAATGCAAAGAATGCTAGAGCACACATCGCACAAAATTGGCACTGGTCGTAGTACGTAGCGACACAGTGTGGCACAGCCATTACTAATCGATTTAAAATCGTTAGCGTAATAGGCAACCTAGCGTCCAAACGAAAACCCTGTTTGCCATAGCCTTTCAACATTTGCACAATGTAAAATATTTTAGTGGGATCCATCAATCCCATTAATTTGTGGGAATAGCCGAGAGCCGTAGGTGTTGACAGTAGAGGGGGCGTAGCGCCGGTCAAACATGTAGGCGATAAAAAGTGCTAATGTAGGAGGCGAAATTGGTAATTTATATGAAAATGTTTGAAACACATGAGAATGAAATTGGTCAAAAAGTTTCCAAGCGCGTCGGTAAGTCGGAATTGAGGATGGCTGGAGGCTCGATTGTGTCAAGTGGGAAACGATATTTCCCAATTCGCTGGCAACAGATGCCGCGGAATGTCCGCTGCACAGGAATTCATCGAGGCTGGTGCTTCGCGTTTGAAGGTTTGAACCTGAAATCGAGACAAAAGATCAGCCAGGCGATTGTACGTCCCAGGAATGTGTTTGGCTTTAAATAAAATATTGTGGTTTAAACAAACAAGAACAAGCTTGCGAACAAAAAACATCAATGTCTTGTCCTTGCATGATTGCTTATTAATGACATGAACGAGTGCTTCATTATCAGTAAAAAATAAAATGCTATGATTCGCTATCTTATGACCCCATAAATATTCTACCCCAGACTCAGTACAATGGGGTAGAATTCCAAAATGGCAATGTTACGGTGGCGCCAGTGATCGGGCCAGAAACCGTGGCAGAATTCCGTGCCAAAAATTGCACCAAAACCGATGCCACCCGTGGTGTCCGTGAACAAATTAAGTTTAGAGGAATTTTGCCATCTGTCATCAAGAAAGAATGATCGGCCATTAAATGTTGACAGGAAAGATAACCAAACGTTTAAATCCTCTTTAGCCTCGCCATTAAGTTTTATTAGGTGATGAGAGAAACGGACGCCGGGGGTGAGATCGATCAGTCGACGCAAAAATGCCCTTCCTGGGGTGACGACGCTGCACGCAAAATTTAACAG